GCGGACGGACGAACGGACGGATGGACAAACAAGAAAAGCAAACTGAGCAAGCCAGGGAAGAAGCCAGCAACCAGCACTCCTACATAGATTCTGCTTCACTTCCTGCCTCAGCTTCCCTCATTGACTTTGACCCAGGGTCTAGTCAGTGTTTATCACAGCAACAGAAACCTTAAGCTTTATGGGCTATATAAATCTTCTCAATTTTAAGTTCATTTAAAAATAAACGAATCACATGTTAACATGAATAATTTTACCAAGAAATATAGTAATGTAAACAAAAAAAACAAGTGACCATGGCATTGTAGTTTTTCAGTGTCTGATTTAAAAGAAAACAGTTGGCTTCTCTAGTGCTTGCCAATGCTTGCTATTGAGAGACTGCACGCCTGCAACAACCTTCTTAGCACTGGGAGGAACTGATCCTGAGGACTTCTGGGTACTGCGGCTTGCCCTATAGAGTCCCCACCCTCCACTTCTCAATGACTTCACATCTGTGGCTCACCTCAACTTTCCAACAGGCTGCCCTTCCTCTGTCTCCTCACACACACCCCTAAAAGCACCTGCACCCGGCCGCTGCTTCCCTTCTGACATTGCACAGGCTGCAGAGCCTACCCTCCTCACCACTCACTACACTGCCCCCAGTTCTTTCTCTCCTGCATTTGCAGTTCTGCTGCATCTCCTGAAAGGAATGTACAAAATGTGGCACACACCACCTCGTGACAGTTCCCTACTCCTACTTGGCAGTCCTGTTAGTAGGCTTCTGGAGCCCCATCTCAGATGCACCCCCACCTCGGCTTGGCCTATCAGTTTCATTTATACTAGCCGTTGGCACTCTAAGGGGGTACTGTAGAGTTTTAGTTTTCATTCCATCATTGATGTCACCTAGCTTCCTGGCTGATCCTTAAAATCCAATCTTTAGATCCACTGGGCATCCCAGTGCACTTTTCAGAGAAGCCCCAAAGACCCAGGCTTGAAACTCTCAGACCCATCTCTTAAACTGTGGCACTTGACTAGACGCCTGCTGCACAGGCTATCACCCCACCCCCATCCAGATGAGCAGATACTGCACTTACCCAGAGTCCACACCAGGCATCCATGATTCATCTTCCCTGACATCTTTCTTCAGTGACATTTTCCCTGAAAGCCCTACCCAAAGCTGTATCTCTTCTCAGTAAAGTTTCTCTTCCCTGCTTCTTTTACACACACACACACACACACACACACACACAGTACCTCTATAGTTATCTTTATACATTATACACCTACCTGTTGTCTATAAACACCAATTGATTCTGTTCTGCTCACTGCCGTGTCTCCAGCAACAGCACACACGTAAAATGATCTGCAGTGGTTGCTTCTTTCAACCCCTGCAACACCACCCAACCCAGTGACTCACTGTTTGCTAACATGGCCTATTAACAGAAATGAGAAACTGGGCTCCTTCATTGGCATTAACAAGAGGCTTACCAAGCCAGGTGAGCTCGGCTCTAATGTTCAAAAGTGGTCACGTGGCCGGGTGATGGTGGCGCATGCCTTTAATCCCAGCACTCGGGAGGCAGAGGCAGAGGCAGGTGGTGCCTGTCTACAAGAGATAGTTCCAGGACAGGCTCCAAAACCACAGAGAAACCCTGTCTCGAAAAACCAAAAAAAAAAAAAAAAAAAAAAAAAAAAAAAAACCCAAAAGTGGTCACGTGCATTTTCCTTCTACTTTCTCCATTCTCCTCCTAAGTCTTCAAAATGAATGCTCCTGTCCAGTCCTGAAGCTTCAGGCACTGTATCAGCTCCACAGCCTTTCCCACCATTCTAGGCCATTGCCAAGGCCTCCTCAATGCCTTCCCTGCCTGCTTCATCTCCTCTAATCACCGTGTACTGCTCATTGGCTCAGAATTCAGATTGAAGTATTTTTAAACAACCCCCCCCCAATCATATTCTCTACACAGCAGTATTGGAAGTATTTATAAAACATGTACACTGTATTATCTAAGCATTCTCTTGGAAGTGCTCAGGTTATGTGCATACCACACCACTGTAATAACGGGGTTGCACATCACTGGATTTTGGTGTCTGGTGGGTCCTAGAAGCCCATGGGTACCAAAGAACCTCACTCAGACTTGGGATCCTCCAGCCTTAGCCGCCTGAGCGTCAGAACCCACGTTTTCATCATTTAATGGGTATGGTTTTTTGTTTGCATATACGTCTGTGCACCACATGAGTGCCTGGTGCCCGTGGAAGCCAGAAAAGGCCCTCAGATCCTCGGGAACGGGTATCACAGTCAGGTGTGAGCCTCTCCAGGTGCAGTGAAGCCCTGTCCTCTGCACCAGCAGCCAGGGCTTTTCACTAACCCATCTCTCTCTAGCTCCATGGGACCGATTATTTAACAGCCACCTGGGCCAATCTCCTTGGGTAAGATTCCTTTCTCCACCAACTCCATTGTCAGGGCTCTCTTGTGTGTGCAATGCCTTCCTTCACCCATAAACGAGGACATTAGCCCAGGACACACGACTTATGAGCTCTTGCCATTAGGAGTTCCATGCAGTGAGGATTCATCACTAGCTGGGCCTAACAGAAACGGCACGGGATCGGATCTGAACTTCTCAGCTAGCTTCACCTGTAAGCAAAGGCCCACCTTGGCTTTTCGCTCCGTTTCTCACCTGCAACCTTCCCCGGGGCTTCCTCCTCGCCTTATTTTCCTTAGCAAGGTTCATCCCAGAGCGCTATCCTTCCCGAAACTCGGACCACCTGGTCCGTAGTTGTCCCTGCTTTGTCGTTATGCACAGTAAAATCGAGGTGCTGTGTCTACAGGAGTTCACGGGGAAATGTTCAGCTTTTTAAATGGACATCAACTTCCAAAATAATTTTTTTTTTCTTTTAAAAAAGGAGGGCGGGACTGCAAGTTCTTTTAAAATTGGATTGGAAAAAAAAAAACACACACACACACACACACACACACACACAACACCAGGGCTTCCTGGGCACGGGGGACTTCCCCTCCACTCCCCTCCTCACAAAATGCAGCCTCGTCAAATACAGTGGGGCACGCCTTTAATCCCACCAGGAAGGCAGAGGCTAGGATCTCGGAGTTCGAGGCCAACCTGCTCTACATATTGAGTTACAGGAAGCCAGGAATACAAAGTGAAACGCTCTAATTTTTCCTCTTTTTCTTTTTAAAGCAGTCTATTTGGGGGCGCTCAGCTACAGTAAACTACCAAGCACAAACCACCTCTTACTGCTAGGGCCCCGACACCGCAAGGTTACTTCACTGGGATACAATCTAACCAGCGCCACGCCGGCTCCGGCCCCCGTCTCCGCTGTGACCCCCACCGCGGGGAGCGGGCGCACGGTGTCCAGCCCAGCTCCGCAGCTCCCCGGAGCACCCCGAGCGGCCGCGCCTCGGCCAAGGTCACCGGCCAGCGCGGCGGCGCAGCGTCCACCCGGCCCACGGCCCCGCGAGGCTGACCCCGGCCCACGCCGCGGACGGAGCGGCTGGCCGCGCCTCACTCACATGTTGTTGAAGCGGAACAGGTCGTCGCAGGTGAAGGCCCGGAGCGTGGTCATCGCGCCACAGCCAGGTTCCCCGCTCAGCGCGACCCCGCGCCCGCACTGCCGGAAGTGCCCGCGCGCGCGCGGCCGCCATGGGGCGGGACAAAGAACTACTTCCGGACTAGAGGTTGCTGGGCAACAGGGATTAGCGTAGCAGCTCTCTCTGGCGGTGGAAAGGAGCAATTGCTTTGGTGCTCCTCACCTGCAACCCTTTTCCAGAAAGTAGTCAGAATGATAGGCTAGCAAGGAGGAAGAAGCTGGGATCAGGAAGTCAAATGATAAAAGCAAGCTTCAAAACCACAAAGATGCTTCATAGTATGAGCCAGGAAGTGGTCCCTAAAAGGATGGCTCCGGGCCTCATTTCTCAACCACCAGCATGAACCAGGATGTGATCTTGAGTTTTCTGGTACCACATTAAAATTATAAAAAAAACAAAGATACAACGCAATGACCAGCAAAATTCTTCAAAGACCTCGAAAGAACAGTACTCAACTTCATAGGGAAAAGCAAAAAACCCAGGATAGCCAAAACAATCCTGTAATAAAAGAATTTCTAGATGCATCACAATCCCTGACTTCAATCTCTACTACAGAGCTACAGTACTGAAAACAGCCTGATATTGGCATAAGAACAGACAGGAGGACCAATGGAACTGAATAGAAGACCCGGATATCAATACACACATCTTCGAACACCTGATCTTTTATAAAGGAGCAAAAAATATCAAATGGAAAAAAAGAAAGCATATTTAACAAGTGGTGCTGGCATGGAGTACTACACAGCAGAAAAAAATAACGGCAGCTTGAATTTTGCAGGCAAAGGGATGGAGCTAGAAAACATTATTTTGAGTGATGTAATCCAGACACAGAAAGGCAATTATCACATGTACTCACTCATAGGTGGTTTTTAAACTTAAAGCAAAGGAAGCCAGCCTACAAACCACAATCCCAAAGAACTTAGACAACAATGCAGATACTAAGAGAAATTTACATAGATCTAATCTACATTGGAAGTAGAAAAAAACAAGATCTCTTGAGTAAATTGGGAGCATGGGGACAGGGACTTTGGGGGAGGATTGAAGGGGGGTGGAAGAAGCAGGGAAGCAGAGAAAAATATAGAGCTCAATAAATATCAATAAAAAATGTATAAAAAATAAAAAAATAATAATAAACCAAATATGAAAATGGTGTATATCGAGTATCGTGATGCATGCCTTTAATCCCAGCACCTGGGAGGCAAAGGCAGGAGGATCTCAGTGAGTTCCAGGATAGCCACAGCTGTTACACAAAGAAATCTTGTCTCAAAAAAAAAAAAAAAAAAAAAAGAGAAAAGTGGGAGGGGAACATACAGGGAGATATGGGAAAATTTTGGTATATATGTATTTTGGGTATGATTATATATACATATAAATTCTCAGATATATATATAAAATCATATTTCATTACATATGTGTAGACAATTCTCAAGAATAAAAAATTTAAGCCTGAATGTAAGCAAAATGCAAAATTGCTTTTTTATAAACAAATAAATCATTATACAAAGAAGTATAAGTAAAATGCACACAGCCCCCAGGCATGTTAGAACATGTACCCAGGAGCTAGAGGGTTGAAGGAGAATCTCGACTCCCAAGTCAGCCCGGGCTACATAGCAAGACCCTGTTTTCAAACAACAACAAATAAAAAAGGAGTAAACAAATGGACATGGCACTTAAAACTGCTCGAATGTACGCGCAGACGTAGATAAAGCGGGTCAGGGTCCTCAGGGCAGTCATCCCTGCTCCTTGGCACAGGACACGGCGCATTCATATTTTTAAGGTCAAGAATCCTTTTCATTACTACCAATTTTCTACATCTCACCGAGTTGTAGAAACCAGCAGAAGATAATAAAAATTAAGATCAGAAGAGTTTACTATGTAGGATGTCCAGTATTCTTTTTGTTTAAATTGGTTATTTCAGAATATTTTGTAACTGTTTTCTGACATAAACCGATGTCAGTTTGAATTAGTTGGTTGTGAAGTTTAGTTGGTATTCATAATTCTATTCTAGTTCTGATTTGTAAACATTATAACCAACAGGTCTATAAGTATTTAAGTGCAACAGAATTTTATGGTTTTTTTTCTTTTTAATATTGTGAGTTTAACACAGAGGTAGCACTTGACCCATGCAAGTACTAGATACTGTGGGCTATTAATTTGCAACCAATGAGAGAGGCCGCATGGTGGCTGACACATGTAATCCAGCTCTTAGAAGACTGAGGCAGGAGGATTGCAAGCTGGAGGGCAGCCTCGTGGATTTAGTGAGATTCTATCTCAACACAAAAACAGAACACAGACATTTCGAGTCACAAATAAGCACTACCCAGCAACTACAGAGCCATAGCAGCAGATGGCGGGTCAGTAACACAGAGAGAAGCATAGAAAATACACAGACCACCCTTCTCTCCCGGTGAGCCTACTGACCTTAAAGCCGTTACTAATTCTGTAGCTGAACACCTTCAATCAGTATCTGAAAGGGAGCCCAGTGCAAGCCAGCTGAAGAGCTGAAAGAAGGGCCGTGTATAGGTTATGGGGGAAAGTTCTGTCATCTCCTGCAACAAGGTATTTACATTATAGACCATTATAGACTAGGTTATTTATCTTTTTTTTTTTTTTTTAGTTTTTCGAGACAGGGTTTCTCTGTGGTTTTGGAGCCTGTCCTGGAACTTGTTGGAGTTGTAGACCAGGCTGGTCTCGAACTCACTGAGATCTGCCTGCCTCTGCCTCCCGAGTGCTGGGATCAAAGGCATGCGCCACCACCGCCCGGCTAAATTATTTATCTTTAAATAATCCTGGGCCCCTGGAAAGTACCCAGTTAGAGTCTTCCCCCTCCTGCAGCTGTTTGAAGGACTCATACCTGGCAGGCAGAACAGTACCTGCCACCTTGTGAAGTGATGGAAGTGACCCAATGAAATGGAATACTTTGCATATTTAAGATGGTGACTGTAGAATATGAGAGGGAAAACCCTCAGCTACAGATGCCTTAGCAAATTTACTTCAGGGACATTGGCATGTCTCTATTGCTCCCTTGTGAACAGCCTTCAACAGAAGGCAGCCTTGCAAGCCACCTCCCTCCTCTCCTGCTGTGCTTCACGTGGAAAAGCTTGCAAGACCACCTGCTTGTTTTGAGTTTGGGGTTTTCCTGTGTTTGGTTGGTTAGTTTTGGGTTTTGGTTTTCGATTTTTTGGGGTTTGTTTGTTTGGTTGGTTGGTTGGTTGGCTTGGCCTTTTCAAGCCAATACATCTAAGGTCTGTTTAAGTTTTTAAAGCCTGCCTTATTTTAATAAAAACTTTATGTGCACATTAACACATTGTAGATAGACTTGTGAAGATATACAAATAAAGAATGACTCAAAATTCTATAACCCCAAAATAAGTTATCTTTAACCTCTGGATAACTAGATCTCTCTGCCTAGTTTAGGGGCCGTGAGGGAAGGATTTATTTAAAAGACAATTCATTATTATTTTAAGTTAGTATCAAGTAAAGTGTATTTCTTTAAGTGTCCTTAAATTTAACATAAGAAGCCGGGCGGTGGTGGTGCATGCCTTTAATCCCAGCACTGGGAGGCAGAGGCACAGCAGATCTCAGTGAGTCGAGACCAGCCTGGTCTACAAGAGCGAGTTCCAGGACAGGAGCCAGAGCTACAGAGAAACCAAGCTTCTAAAAACAAACAAACAAACAAACAAACAAACAAACAAACAAAAATAAACAGAAGGAAAAAGAACTGAATTAAAACTGAAGAAAAGTTGGGTTTTCTATAGTTCCAGCCCTTGTGAGGTACAAGCAAGAGAATCAGGTCAAGGTCATCCCTCTCTAGTGAAGAGTTTGAGGCCTTCCTGGATTGTTTATGTTAGACCTTATCTCAAAAAACAAACTCAACAAGCAAGGTGGCCTCCACCTTTAATCCCAGTACCCAGGAGGCAGAAGCAGGGGGATGGAGGTAAATTCCAAGCCAGTAGGGCTACATAATCTCAAACAAAACCAAACTTAAAATAAAGCTGAAGAGATTCCCAAACTCACAGGAATCTGAGTGCCTTGAAGTTGGTGACGTGTGTCACCATGTCACTGGATTTACTTAAACACGCAGACTACATTTAACTCCCCGAGTGCTCCCAGAATCCTTTGCAGTTCTAGGACGAGCTTTATTGATTTCCCCTTCAGGGCATTTGGCTTTGACTTTTCAGAGCCAGGAAAAGTTTCTACCACAGCTGCACATTTTCCTTGCCTTAGCCATGACTCAGAGAACTTTTGATTTATCATTTTACAGTGAGTAATTCCTTTTACTGCTTAGTTGGAAAAAACTACAAGCTCTCTCACCACATTTAATCACAACCTATTTTCCTGCTCATTGAAACAAAACCCCACGTGCTCTCTGTAAACAGTACTGACCCAGATTCACATCCATCATTGCAACTGTCCCCATCTAAAACACGTCAACGTCTTGATGCTCCGTCTGTTGCTGCTCTGGCTCTTCTTCTCCTGGTTATATGGAAGTACAAAGTGAACAAGTAAAATACATGTACTGATCTGTCCTAGGCAAGAGGTGGTGGGGGTGCACACCTTTAATCCCAGCACTCAGGAGCAGAGGCCAGCGGATCCCTGTGAGTTCGAGGCCAGCCTGGTCTACAGAGCTAGTTCCAGGACAGGAACCGAAGCTACACAGAGAAACCCTGTCTTGAAAAACAAACACAAACAAAAACAACAACAAAAAAAAGAGGCGTGAGTAGGTATCTTTGCTTTAGAATTTTTTTTTTATCAAATAATAACTGAACAGGATGGATGCATTGGCCTTGGCTGTCAATATAACTATCTCTCTTCAGTTTTGTTAATTAGAATGTATAAAGGCATTTGCTACTAAAATTAAACCTGACTATGGCTTTCAATTAATCAAGGAAGGCTGGATATATCTGTTCTCTACTATAGTTCACTAAAATAAAAATAAAACAGATTTTTTTTCAAATTTTAAATACTGAAATTAAAATACTCAAGGATGAATTCAAGAAAAATTACGAAAATCGCAGTGTGAAAAGTACAAGATATTG